TGAAGGACAAAAATGGTATGGACCTAAAAGAAGCAGAAGATATTAAGAAGAGGTGGCAAGAATACACAGAAGAACTGTATAAAAAAGAACTGTGCAACCCAGATAATCACAATGGTGTGATCACTCACCTAGAGTCAGACGTCCTGGAATGTGAAGTCAAGTGGGCCTCAGGAAGCATCACTATGAACAGAGTTAGTGGAGGTGATGGAATTCCAGTTGAGCTATTTCAAATCCTAAAAGATGATGCTGTGAAAGTGCTGCACTCAATATATCAGCAAATTTGGAAAGCTCAGCAGTGGCCACAGGACTGGAAAAGGTCAGTTTTCATTCCAATACCAAAGAAAGGCAATGCCAAAGAATGCTCAAACTACCTCACCATTGCACTCATCTCACACGCTAGTACAGTAATGCTCAAAATTCTCCAAGCCAGGCTTCAGTACTACCTGAACCGTGAACTTCCAGATGTTCAAGCTGGTTTTAGAAAAGGCAGAGGAACTAGAGATCAAATTGCCAACATTTGCTGGATCATTGAAAAAGCAAGAGAGTTCCAGAAAAACATCTATTTATGCTTTATTGACTATGCCAAAGCCTTTGACTGTGTGGATCACGACAAACTGTGGAAAATTCTTCAAGAGATGGGAATACCAGACCACCTGACCTGCCTCTTGAGAAACCTGTATGCAGGTCAGGAAGCAACAGTTAGAACTGGACATGGAACAACAGACTGGTTCCAAATAGGAAAAGGAGTACGTCAAGGCTGTATATTGTCACCCTGCTTATTTAACTTACATGCAGAGTACATCATGAGAAATGCTGGGCTGGATGAAGCACAAGCTGGAATCAAGATTGCCAGGGGAAATATCAATAACCTCAGATATGCAGATGACACCACCCTTATGACAGAAAGTGAAAGAGCCTCTTGATGAAAGTAAAAGAGGAGAGTATAAAGTTGGCTTAAAGCTCAACATTCAGAAAACTAAGATCATGGCATCTGGTCCCATCACTTCATGGCAAATAGATGGGGAAACAGTGGAAACAGTGGCTGATTTTATTTTTCTGGACTCCAAAATCACTGCAGATGGTGGTTGCAGCCATGAAATTAAAAGACGCTTACTCCTTGGAAGAAAAGTTATGACCAACCTAGACAGCATATTAAAAAGCGGAGACATTACTTTGTCAACAAAGGTCCATCTAGTCAAGGCCATGGTTTTTCCAGTGGTCATGTATGGATGTGAGACTTAGACTACAAAGAAAGCTGAGCACTGAAGAATTGATGCTTTTGAACTGTGGTGTTGGAGAAGACTCTTGAGAGTCCCTTGGACTGCAAGGAGATCCAACCAGTTCATCCTAAAGGAGATCAGTCCTGGGTGTTCATTGGAAGGACTGATGTTGAAGTTGAAACTCCAATACTTTGGCTAACTGATGCGAAGAGCTGACTCACTGGAAAAGACCCTGATGCTAGGAAAGATTGAGGGCAGGAGGAGACGAGGATGACAGAGGATGAGATGGTTGGATGGCATCACCGACACAATGGACAAGGGTTTGGGTGGACTCTGGGAGTTGGTGATGGACAGGGATGCCTGGCGTGCTGTGGTTCATGGGGTCGCAAATAGTCGGACATGACTGAGCGACTGAATTAAACTGAACTGAAACCATACACACCACACATACATACTATAGATACCTAACACACAGCACACACATCACATATACACCACTCATACACCCACCACATACACATTCTCACCACACACACGTACCATACACATACACTATATATACCTCACACATATCACACACACACCACATATGCACACCATACACACTATATGTATACCATACATATACACACATCACATACACATACCACACACATACACATATTACACACATACTACATAATACCCCATGCAACACACACAAATCTGCCCCCCCCCCCAAGAAACCAACAGCAGTCTGGCTTGTACAGTCTTCAAAATCTTAGTGTCACCATGAAGTTACGGTGCAGTGATAAAGAATCCACCTGCCAATGCGGTGGATACAAGAGACTCAGGTTTGATCTCCTGGAGAAGGAAATAGCAATCCATTCCAGTATTCTTGCCTGGAAAGTACCACAGACAGAGGAGCGTCAAGGGCTACAGTCCACGGGGTCCCAAAGAGTCAGACACGACTGCACATGCAGGCACTACTATGAAGTTGTTTATATCGTGGAATCGGGCTGTAACTCTGACCCCACAATAGCAGTAACTGTTGAGCTTTGCCAGACAGCCACCACAAACCCTCAGCGGCGTGTGACAGTCTGCACTGCTCGTGCTTGTGCGTGTGGCCCATGCAGACACTGGTGCAGGCTGGGCTCACAGGGCAGCTATGCTTCAGCCGTGATCTCCCCACTGTGAGTTGGCACCTGTTCCACATGTGCTCATCCGAAGCCCAGCATGAAAGGGCAGCAGATACAAGTGAAACGATTCTCGTGTTTCATCTTCGGAGGGCAGGAGACAAACGTAATCTGCCAAGCACATGATGAAGCCTCTGCTAACCTCACGTCTGCTAACATTCCACTGGCCAAAGTTATATAGCCAAGGCCAAAGTCAGGGACCAGGAAGAACACTCCACACAGCATGAGGCCCGGTGAGGGTGGATGTAGGATCCTATTACCAATATTTCAATCTACCTCGAGAGCCTTCTCAGGGATATTAGGGGTGAGATCCTCAGATTTCTAAGCAGTCAATTGGCAACTAGTTTCTTTCACAAGAACACAGGAGTTTAAAATTGAGGATAATGGAGAAAATCAAGTCTTTAACTGGGGTACCTGTTGCAGGACTTGAGCTCAAGAACTCAGAGTCAGGGGAATGTTATCACCATGGGTCATGGCCGTGGGGTTGGAAGGTGGCATGGACAGTCCAGGTTGTAAATTAAGATGGGGGGGACGACAGACAATCCCATAACCAGCCCTGGGACCCTGTATACATACATACCCTCCTGGCTCAAACTAAAGGGAAAAAGGGGACTCAACTGGGTCTAGCTGCCCCAGAGGTGAGCTGTGGATTGTGTGGGTGTCTGTGTGCAGTGGAGGAGGGGAAGGGCAGAGCTGAGTCTAGACTTGGGAAGCATGGAAAAGCCTATTGAGTCAGGCAGAGGTAAGGGAAGGAATGTAAGGGGTTCATCTGGACCTGCCAGATCCACCTAAACTGATTGCAGACATTACTCAGGCTGCAACTTAAACCCTCAGGGATAAACCTAAGCCTGGAGCTGAGGAAAAGACCATCCCCAGGCAACCCCTCACAGATGGGCAAGGGATGGGTCCCAGATCTGTTGCTGTTTTAGACCATGTGAATTTTAACTGGCTGAATTGCTGGTGTCCCCTGAAAATTTAATATGTTTGTACGTGTGCGTGTGCATGTGTGTATGCTTAATCATGCCCGACTTTTGCGAGCACATGGACTGCAGCCCAAGAGACTTCTCTGTCCACGGAATTTTCCAGGCTAGAAACAGGAGTGGGTTGCCATGCCCTGCTCCAGGGGATCTTCCCAAGCCAGGGAACCAACCCCTGTCTCCTGCATTGGAAGGTGCCTTCTTTACCACTAGCGCCATCTAGGAAGTCTCAAAATTTCATATACTGAATTCCTAATCCCCAATGTGATGGTATTCAGAATAGGGCCTCTGGGAGGTGACTAAGCCGTGCAGGTGGAACTTGTGTGAATGGGATTAATGCCCTTAAAGCAGAGACCCCGGAGAGCTCCCCCGCCCCTTCTGCCAAGTGAGGTTATAGTGAGAAGACAGAATTCAAATTAGTAAGTCACAGAACTCGACTATGCTGGCACCTTCATTCCAGACTTTCAGCCTCCAAAACCATGAGAAATCAACTTCCGTTGTTTATACGCGTGTTCTATTGTAGCAGCCCAAATAGACAAAGACAGTCACCCTGTGTTAACCCCCCTCTTCCAAAAAGAAAAACATGACTGAACCGCCCTCAGAGGGAGGAAGGATGATCATCCTTGGGCTCTTCTATTTCTTCCCCCCTGTTTTGCTCACTTTCTCTCTTCTATACCACCCTGCTCTCCCCCAGAGTCTGTGATGGCCAGGGACTGTGGCCAAGAGGGCACCCACGGGAGCTCCCTCTGTGCTCAGCCTGCTTATGACACTGGTACAGTTCCTTGCTCGAGTTCTCTCTAATCTGCTCCCCTCCATGCAGCCCTGTAGGGATGGGAAAAACCTAGACTTGGAGCCAGGCGAGTCTGGGTTTGACCATAACCTGCTCGCTCCGCTTGGCAGGTGACACAGGCAACAACAATCACAGTACTGGCCTCGCTGGGCTGCTGAGAATTAGGTGCATGTGGACAGAGCATCAGGAAGGCATAATTTAATGTTGCTGGTGTCCTGAGTTTGGGTTTGTTACATGAGAGACGATGGCTAGCAGTTTGGGTTTTTACTAGTTGAAACGTCAACCAGTGGAGGAGAAGGGCTTTCTTTGCTTCGGACCCAGTCCAAAGCTTTGGGGACACCCCTCCAGAATACCTGTGTACCCCTCCTAAGGACCCAGGCAGTGGGAGAGGCCCCATGGTTGGGATGAAGGGACGGCAAAGTGGAGACGGTGGTGGGACCAGTGACAGCAGGGGGCACAGGGCCCGCCTGACCCTGGTTGGACTCCCTGGACCCCTCAGGTGAGGTGGAGGAGGACAGAAGGTGCCCTGAGACTCCAATGCCCCTCTACCCGAGCTTTCCCCAACAAAGTCACCCCCAGACCCTGGAGGGAAAAAAAAGAGGGGACAAGCTTTCCCAGCCAACCTACAGCGGCGTCCACCCAAAGTGACTGCGTTTAAGTGAAAAGTCACAGACTTACCTCAGGTTGTCAACGCGTGGCTCTCTGATGGAAACCGTCGGCTCTGAGCAGGCAGAACTACTTCCTTAAGAAACAACACAACTATTTCGGTACACCCACGTCCAGGACGGTCAAATTCATGACTGCCGCGTGCCAGGAAGGAACTCAAGCGGCAGTCTCGATGGGCGTGCCGGGACGGCACAGAGGGTGGTCTTGGGCCCCGCTGATGGGGCCTGCTGGCAGAGACCCGAATGTCCAGGGCTCCTCGGGCGCCCGTGGGCAGGCGCAGCGGGGTCAACAGGGGACAGCTGAACGGTCTGCAGAGGACCCAGAGCCCCAGCGTAACGATAAGTGGGGACCTGCTCATCATTGGAGCGGCCCCATCAGAGACCGGCCAGTGTGCCTGAAGGATCCACCCGAGCCAGGTGGGACGCGCAAAGGCCTGTGGGAGCGGGGGCGGGGGGCGGCCTTTCTGCTCAGAGAAGGGGCTGGGGGGGGGGCCCGCGGGGAGATCATGGCAACACCCACTCCTCCCACCCTCCCAGCCGCCCAGATGCGCAGCCTGCCGGGGTGCGGACAGCGTTTAGGACCTCAGGGGCCTGTGGGAGTGAGACCCAGATCCTGTACTTGGCGGGGTCCGGTACAGTTTGTTGGCTGTGTTGGCCAATTAGGGGAAACCTCGTTCAGACTGGACGTTGGAGGCGGGCGACACCTAGAGGCCCAGACAGGAATGACACTTGGAAAGCCAGGACTTGACGCCAAGAGCACAAAAGGGAGGGCCCAGCCTCCTTTGTCGGAGAAGGAAATGGCAGCCCATTCCAATATTCTTGCCTGGAGAATCCCAGCGATGGAGGAGCCTGGTGGGCTGCTGTCTATGGGGTCGCATCGCACAGAGTCGGACATGACTGAAGCGACTTAGCAGCAGCAGCAGCAGCCTCCTTTGTCCTAAGGTGTCAGTCAAGAGCCCAGGGACTCTCCCACGCGGCTCCCCACAAAACAAGCCTAGAATACGGAGGGGCAAGCTCTTAGCAGTCATTTGGACTTGAGTTCAAATCTCAGCTCATTGCTTCCAGCCATGTGATGCGGATTAAGTATTATTTCCTCCCTGAGCCTCAATTTCCTCCTCTGTAAAATGGGGATACCATTTTGTAGATACGGTCTCTACCATAGAAGTCGCTCTGTGACAGTCCCTTGCACCCCTTCTCCCAGAAGCAGCCCTCTCCTGGCTGGTCACAGTCCACAGATCTAGATGGCCCAATCGGAGCCCTCCCTTGGGAGTCCCACACTGAGGCTAGGAAGCCACCGTGCCCAAAGGCCAGGGAAAAAGCCTGGAAGTAGCTGTGTGAAATTGAGCTGTCCAAGTGCCTGGCTGCATCTGTCCAATTTCAGGGCCCTAGCAGGAACATAGCATTAATCAGCAGGTCCTCACAGATCATCTATAGGCTACAGAAAGGGGGAAGGGGCAGGCAGAGACCCAGGGAGGGTGCCTGGCCCTCCAACAGATGACCAGCCTTCCAGGTTTTCCTGGGACTGAAGGGACCTCTCTTGTGGTGAGACTTTCAGTCCAAGAGCCAGACCGAATCACAAGATGGCCAACCTCTGGGCAGTCAGCACAGGATTGTGCTGAGACATGGGCTCTGGAATTTCATCACACAGAGACGGACACTTGTGCCCATGGGGCTGAGGCTTCCATGGGCCAAACAGATAATGAGCACTGTGCTGGCCAGGCCCAACTTCCAGGGCTGCAGCCTGACCCCTAGCAGGCCCACCAATAGGAGACCTAATGAGTTCCCGAAACAGGGCCCTGGGGACACGCACGCATTTGGAAGCCTTTTTGCTACCTCCTCAGCACATTAACTGGCAGAACATCTAATGATTTTAAATAAAACACTTTATGAAGGTCAAATTCAGCATTTCTGCCTGCTGCTACCCAAAGGTTTAAATTCCATGTTATCATATATTCAAATGTACTACAACTGTAACCAGTTACTCATCTAGAGGACATTCACCTTTTTGCCGATTATCTTGTCTCCATGTCCCTGGCCTTGTTTTAACAGGAATTGCTATCCCTGGAGCCTTTGAGAATATGACTGGTCATTTTCCTACAGATGTCAGTGCTGATGACTCTGGGGGGCCCTCCATATGTACCCCATCTGCTCCAGGTCTTGTTAGCTTGCTTCTCTAGTCCCTGCAGCTTCAGGTCAGACGGTGGGGTCACCTGTTTTCCTCAGGGAGCAAGTGAAATGGCATCTTCTCAGGAAGTCCTCCCCTGACCTCCCAATTAAAAACAAAATTACACACTCACACAGATGTGTGCTTTTTTTTCCTCTAGCACACATCACCATTTAAAGGTCTATTTATCTTCTATTCTGTCTTTCCCACCAGAATGTAAGTTTCATGAAGGTAGGGATTTGTGTCTTTTTTTCTCCACACTGGTACATCCCTAACACCTTGAACTGGGGCAGACAGAGGGCAAACACTTTAAAAATATTTGTTGAAAAAAGCACGCCAGACTTTCACAAAAACACAGAAGAATCCCCCAGGAGTTATGAGACACTTTCCTGGCCCTTCACAATGGGAATTCTGTGCACTGGGTCAGCCACCTGTGGGCTCCCTGGGAAAGGTACTTCCTGAACCTTTACTCTGGGCCTGGACCTGCCCCAGATGTCTTACAAGAAACTCATTTCACCCCAGCAGTGTGCTGGAAGACCTAAATGTGTTAGACAAGGATGCTCAGCCCAGATGAGAGGACGTACCAGCTAAGTCGCTTCAGTCATGTCCGGCTCTTTACAGACTGGTGCCTGTCACACTCCTCTATGGGATTCTCCAGGGAAGAATGCTGGAGTGGGTTGTGATGCCCTCCTCCAGGGGAATCTTCCTAATCCAGGGATCGAACCTGTGTCTTTTATGTCTCCTGCATTGGCAGGAGGGTTCTTTACCACTAATGCCATGTGGGAAGCCCTGACAGGAAAACGGAAAAGCTGCCAGGAGAGCACATTGAACCCTCAGGTGAGGCTAGGTCCTGGGGCCGTGGGATTGCAGGGGTTTAGATCAGCCTCACAGCCCTGTAACCCTCTACAGTTGGGTATAGCTGTGGGCCAGTTCCTTAAGCTGACTGTGCTTCCTTTTTCTCATCTGTCCAACCAGGACCATGAGCACCTCTGTCCCCGAGTGGCAGTGCGGTCAAGTGAGGTCCCGTCTGAGGCATGGAGGGCCCGGCCTGGAGTGAGCGCCAGATGCTGAAACTGCTGCTACACGGGCCCAGCCCCTCTCTCCCAGGTCTCTATCTGGGCCGGGCTGGTCACCCCAGCCTCTCCTGTCAGAGTCTGGAGGCTGCTTGCCTTTATGACTCAGGACTGGACTGAAGGTCAGGAACCCCTTCTTCAGTGGTCAAGTTTGTGGCCAGCCCATTTCTCTCACAGTGGAGGCTCCCAGCTGGGGACAAACGCTGCGGCCCTGCAAACCACGGACAGACAGACAGGCCCATGCTCAGAGGCGGGAGGAGGAGACAGGCGAGGACCCAGAGGGAGGGTTCTTGAGGGAGCCCCCAGCCTGCCTGGGCTTCCCAGGCCTCCGCGGCACCGTCTCCGCCTCTGCTACAGCCCTCTCACCCCCGCCGCAGGCATCCATCTCCCCTGCACCTGAAAAGGACTAATTGGGCCCTGTTAACGTTTTCCACCTCTCAACAACCCTGCAGGGAAAAAAAAACTGCTGTCACTGTTCCCAGACGACAGGCGGGAACCCAGGCTGCACCAGCGGTCCCCGCAGGAGCGTCCTTAGAAACGAAGTCGGAGGACACCTCCAGGCTCAGCGGCGTCGTCTCTTAGACGCTCAAAGGAAATCCTGCCCTAAGACAGGCGGACCCGAGGAGGGGGCCCAGGGGACCCAGGGCTCCTGAGACCCTAAGAAGTAGTCGTCCTCGGCCCCACGCCCGTCTGCCTTTCTCCTTACCAGACGCAGAAGCTGCTTCGGAACGGGAGCCGCGCGCTCCCGTGTGGCCATTTCTGGGAACGCAGGTCCTGGAATCTGGCCACCCCAGGCTCAGAACCGGCAGGGAAAGGCCCTGGGGAGAAAGCACCTCCCGTGGGCAGGAGGGGAAAGAACAGGGGAGGTGCCTGGAGCCCTTCGACAGGCCTTCCTCAAACTGGAAGACACCTGATAGAACCGGACCTCCTATGATAGTCACTCCCCCTGGAAAGCATCGTCTCCCCTTCCTTTGGTGACTCAGGAGGCAGCTACTGGCCCAGGGGCTTCGGCCTCCCATGAGAGTTTCAGCTGGGCTGGGTGCAGGGTCCCTCCAGGGCTGCCCTGAAGGGTTGGGGCAGCACAAAAGTGGCCCAGAGTAACAGGCAGCAAGACCAGCACAGCTCACGCCACTTCACTCTTGCAGTCATTCAGCGGGGCTGATGGGAGTCCCACCAAGAGCCAGTCACCTTCCTGGCTTCTATGCTGTGTCCTCAACGGATAGCTTTCAGATCTATCCCCCAAAATTCAGCCTTACCAAGGAGCAAGCCCCCATAATGAATCCTGTGCACCTCAGCAGGAGGTTTCTCACTGATCCCTCCCCAACTTCGAGCCCCAGGAAAAGGCTTCATGTACCTCTGTCTTCCTTGATACAGAGACTCACACTTGAGGAGTTACTGTGTGGGAGGCACAGACACCCATCCAATAACTCAGGTGGGCATTCATCCTACCTAATCCTACCTAAGAGTTGGAGGGTACCCTTAGATGCTTTAGGAGTAGACTGGACAATCTGAAGAAACCCATCCAGCCATCCAGTCCATCACGTTTGGTCCAGGATGCCCAGGGTACATGGAAGAGCATGATGTCATCTCTTAGATTTTGCCAAAAATTCCTGTTGTCCCCCAACAACACTCTATAAAGAGATTTGGCTTCATGTATTTATTATGTAGCACACAGCACGCTGGGATCTGTTGACATTCACTTGATGTGACTGTGAGGGTTTGTTATTGGTATAATTGGCACAGTCAGAGCAAAACCGCTGAAACTTTTGGGAAATTGACTCAATATTGTAACACACCACATTAGGAAAAAATGGAGTCACAGTGATGATGAGCTGTTATCTGATTGGAGACTTGTGGTTCCTGAGAAAATGTGGGCACTTCATCAGCAGACGAATGGATAAGGAAGCTGTGGTACATATACACCATGGAATATTACTCAGCCATTAAAAAGAATTCATTTGAATCAGTTCTAATGAGATGGATGAAACTGGAGCCCATTATACAGAGCGAAGTAAGCCAGAAAGATAAAGACCATTACAGTATACTAACACATATATATGGAATTTAGAAAGATGGTAACAATAACCCTATATGCAAAACAGAAAAAGAGACACAGATGTACAGAACAGACTTTTGGACTTTGTGGGAGAAGGTGAGGGTGGGATGTTTCAAGAGAACAGCATCGAAACATGTATATAATCTAGGGTGAAACAGATCACCAGCCCAGGTTGGATGCATGAGACAAGTGCTCGGACCTGGTGCACTGGGAAGAGCCAAAGGGATTGGGTTGAAAGGGAGGTGGGAGGGGGGATCAGGATGGGGAATACATGTAAATCCATGGCTAATTCATGTCAATGTATGACAAAAACCACTACAATATTGTAAAGTAATTAGCCTCCAACTAATAAAAATAAATGAAATAAATAAATAAATAAAAAGAAAATGTGGGCACTTGTTTATTCTTGGGATTTTGATAATGGACAAAAACTTCATGCTGCCTCCAAAGGAAATCTGCAGAGATTGGCCTCTGAAAACTATGACCAATGCAAAAGCAAATCAGAGTGTGCCTTAGTGGGTGGAGTCCAAACCCTGGCCCTAGACCCAGCAGAGGACTGAGAAATATACACCTGGAGACTGCAGAACATTTTACAAAAGAGAGACCTCCTTTAGGTACAGAGGGTTGTTCACTCTGGGCTCCAAAAAAAGACCTGCTTTCTGCTTCCTGCTCTCCCACTGCTGGCAATACCTGCCTCCCACCCCACCTGACCCCCTACCCCCGTCCTAGAATTGTTTCTAGAGAACAAGATGTCCCAACCAGCAAAGCAAAGTTATTTGGGACTATTGAACATTTTAGTCAAATTCTCCATCGCTAACTCAGCTTTGGTATAGTTAGTATTAGGGTCTTGAAAATCCCCTCTGGAGTCAGCCTGTATTTGGGAGATGGGAACAAGGTTTCTCCTCTTGATGGCACAGAAGAGTCTGAAGGGTCCTGGGCATCACAGGGCAACCACAATGCCAAGTCCACCTGTTCCCTGGTAGGAGCCAAGAAGAGGATGGCAAATGGTCTGGACCGGCTCTAAGAGAAATACAACATTAGCCTCATATGTTATTTAAAATTTTTTAAAAGACACATTTAAAGATTGTAGAATAAGTAAATGAACTTAATTTTAATGACATTTTATTTAACCCAATATGAAATACTTTATCTCAAAAAGTAATGAGGATAATTATTATTAATGAGATTTTTCCCATTTTATATGGAATCCGGATTCTATACTTACAGGACATCTCAATTCAGACTAGCCACATTTCAAGTTCTCAGCAGCCACGAGTGGCTCACAGCTACTTTACTGGACTGTCAGGTCTAGAGTTCATCTCTGTGGGCTCCGACACAACTGAGGATGTCAGGTTCTTAGTGCTGCTTTTGAAATATAACTGGGCCAAAAGTACCATACACGTGGGTACCTAGGCCTGAAAGATCTAGTGGGTAGTTTGCTGAAGACTTCACAAGGCAGTCCCATCCCAGGAGAGACTGCCTGGGGAGAGGAGGAGGCTGAGCCAGGGCTCCCACATAAACAGGCACACCTGTTCTATTGAGACTCTAGGTTGGCCTTTCCAGTAAATGAATGTCCACACGGAGGGCACCTCCAGTGTTTTCAGCACTGTTGTTGAATTACTAATAAAACCCAAGACCGGGAAAACTCTGGTGGTGTATTACTTTTTTCCTTTTTTGGCAATGAGAAAAATGGACGCTTCTCCGTGGTCTCTCGGGTGGTAAAGAAATCTGCCTGCAATGTGGGAGACCCAGGTTCAATCCCTGGGTCAGGAAGATCCTCTGGCATAGGAAATGGCAACCCACTCCAGTATCCTTGCCTGGAGAATTACGTGGACAGAGGAACCTGGTGGGCTACAGTCTGTGGGATTGCAGAGTTGGCCATGAATGAGCGAGTAACATTTTCACTAAAATTTTCTCTTTGCCTTGGCTACCAGGAAACTCACAACCATGTCGGCTCTATTTAAAGATACTGTCTCCTTCATACCCCCATTATTGTCTAGTTGTTGTCCCTTCACTCTTAATTTAATGCTTGAGGGATTTTGCAGGGTTTCTCTCCTGAAGTCTTGGAAACGGGCAAAGTAACATATGTAAAAGGACGTTCTCAAAATTTACCACTAGACAGCAGCACAGCTCAATAAACTATATTAGCTTCAACTTCCCCACCCCCACCAGAACCAATTCTATTTAGTAACTGTGACTGGCAAGTGACTTTTAACACCCTGAGTCTGTTCTATCAGGTGAGAAAGAAACAGGTGAAATATATCTTAGGAAATGATAGTGGCCTTGTGATTAATTGCATGGACTCTGAAACAGATGGGTCTGGTTTCAAGTTCTGTTGTGCCATTTCAATAGCTGTTGAGATTTTAGGCAGCTTATTTAACTTCTCTGAGCTTTACCTTCCTCTGTAAAATGGAGGTATTAGTGCTTGCTTCATAGGATTGTTACTAGAATTAAAAAGTAGTGTATAAAGTGCTTAGAATGATGACTGGTATTTTAATAACACAGCACCCATCAGCATAGCTGGCATGGTAAAGTACTAAGGTTTATACTACCAAGGTTTGTACTACTATGCTTGTGAGTATCTAAGATGTTTGAAATGGGACCTCCATTTGGCCCACAGGCTCTTCTGTGTATGAGGCTGCAGGATTGACTCCTGGCCCTGCTGCTATAACAGCATACTGTGAATTAAGACTACTAACTCAGTGTCTGTCCCCCTGTAAGCAAGAGATGTTATGGGCTAAGGTCAGAAAAGGAAGGCATCTTAAGACAGCTGAAAAACCTCAATATTAAATCTTGATTAATCACCTATGGAAATAAATGCAGAATATTTAAGACTATCCAAGACTGTTGAAAAAGGAGTTCTTAAATAAAAATCAGATTATAAAAGGCTGGGTTTTCAAAAGGAAATAAAGGACTGTAACCAGGAAGGTAACACAGAAGCAAAGCTAAGGATAGCACAAGGGAATTAAAGCCCAGAATGAAATGAAAGAAACAGGAAAGGAGTTTACTCTTATGTTCAGAACAAGATGATGAACTAGATGAGATGGTGTTAAAAACCACCCGTGGGTCCTTAAGCTCCAGGAGACAGAGAACATGTGGTCTTCATGTCTGTCCCCCCAGCAGCCAGCACAGGGATGGCGCAAATAACACAGGCCACCAAAACTACTTAAACCTAATCAACTTCTACTTTCTTTGCTTTGGGGGAAGAAAAACATTTTCAGAATGAAAAATGTGGGAAAAAACAACATAACAGGAAACAAAAATGACTGCACTCGATAAAGATTAAAAGGGAAATTTTTGAGTTAACCTAAGAGAATACTTGCTCACAGCACTGAGGGCCTTAAAGCTGACACAGGTGTCTTACCATGTGGTAAATGCCACCGTCCCATTTATTACTAATAAAATTTCATTCACTCCTTTTCTGGCATTTATGTAACCATTTTGGGTTAACAATGTGACATATCACTGCAACAACTTCTAATATCCTATATATAATGTCTATCACATAAAGCTAAATTGGAAAATAAAATAAATTATTATTTATTTATTACTTTTACTCAGTGAGGGCTGGGAGTATGTTGTATATGTCAAAGGGAGTGTGTGAAATAATACAGAGTTTGAAAAAAAAAAATCAACCAAACGAACATTTTAGATCTTTGTGGAAAAAAGGTATGAGAAAAAGTACATTATGGATGTCAATGTTGAGAAAGACAAGAACATTTTTATAATTATGAACTTTATTTTTATTTACTATGCCAACATTTTCAGGAAAGAGACTTTACATCCAGTTTTTATAATTCATTTTACAAGCAAATTCTAATATACAGTATTTACTCTGAACTGGTTTTTGAAGTCAATGGGAAAAAACAATACTGCAGATAGTAAAGACTGTGGTGTTCTGTTTTTAGTCAGCAGTGATTAAGAGATTTTAAATTCTTAGGGTCAGTTTTACTTTGTTGTGGTGATGCTCTACCAAGGAGAAAGTGGGTAGCTTTCCCCCAATAATGTTAAAACATACGATGTATCTTTACTTAACAGCATAGTTGTAGATTGGTGCTCACCATCATAATCATTTATCCAAACATACTCTTTCAAATTGCTGCAGCAAAAAAATCGAAGGGAGGTGTGAAAAGAAAGTTTTAAAATATAATTCAGGCATCAGAATTAAATAAAACAGCAAGGCCATCATCCCCAAGGAAAAAATCAGGTATTTGTATTTCAGCTGTAATTATTAATGTTCAAATGTATGGATAAGCATGCAAACATAACTACCCCAACTAATTCAAAAACATGAAAACTTAAGATTGAGAGTAAACGGAACTATGCTGCAGTCTTATTGCTCCATTGCAAGCGTGTTCGGTGACTCCAAATTACATCCTCAGTGCCCCAGAGACCAGGAAACCATCATGACAACTCCGCTCAGAAAGGAAAGAGTGCATCTCTGTCTCTTGTACCATCTACGCTACAGGAAGATTTAGAAGTGACAGCTATAGGGGGACTGTGTTCTCCTTGATGCGTCTGAGTAAAATACTTAATGGGACAATGAGACATTCAAGGAACTTAGTGCTTCAATGGAAAAAGTGACATGCTTAGAATACAATTGTGAAAGGCTGTACTTTGAACAGCAACAATTATAGAGAAATTCATTTCAACAAAGAAAGCCACACCCAATAGGAGGCATTTCGATACTTCAGGCACAACTCCAAGCAATTAAGCTCATTTAAAGTGCAAATCTGATAGTTTCTCTCATATTCAGATTTTTACTTGTTAAAATACTTAGTAAGGTTCTCTAATATCTATATAAATACAATGAACAGTAGTTGTATGCCTGAAAATATTGCACAAATTAAAATGAGACTCCTAAAGAAAAAAGCTAGAGGGTCTCAGTTATTAGAAACATTCTAAATGATATTAACTATATAATTCTTTAGCGCCTTTAAAATCATCTGCAGCTGTACTGATTAACTCCTTAGGCCAAGCTGTCTTTAAGGAATTTGATATGCATCCCATTAACAGCCAAATATATAGTTCCACATACTCTTATTTTCTCTTTCACAAATGTGAAACTTAACACCCATAAAAACTTCTTCCTCAGGATTATAAATTCATACACTGCAACCATCTTCACCAAAATCACAAGAACCAAGGAAAAAAGTGATTTGAGTTCCTATGAAGAAGTATTTGGCACAGAGCTGACTTACAGAAGCACTTACAGAGATCAAGCCAAATCTGAGACAGTGATTTCTGATTATTCAGGTGAGCTACTGCCCCACCTCATTTTTGACTTAACATTTACTAAGGAGCAGACTAGCATAATATTCTTGCAGCTTTTAAAGAAAACTGCAGGCAAATACTGTGTTGTTTCGTGCAAGCATCCTAAATTTTTTCTCTTAAATATAATAGTATGCTTCAAAATTATATTGATGAGCCTTTTGCCAAGATTAAGGCTCAACAAATGTACACAGAAATTGAACCAATGGATTAATTTTTCCTCAATTTCATCAGGGATAAAAAACAGACCAGGAAAAGGATTAGAATAAACATACTGCAGGAGTAAACATTTTAATACACAAAGACATTACCCTCAGACTAGGGGGTTAAAGTAAATATTTAAAATTTTTTTTCCCTAAAGATAAAGGTAACATTTCTCAAGAGTTTGGTTCAATTTCCAAATAAACCATAACCGATTAATCAGTATGTTCTACTTTAGGGCAACACCTCATTTGCACTATCTGAGAACAGTATTCTTTCTTCCTCAAAATGAAAGACCACACGTACCCACTTACGCTTCAGCTATAGACTGCTTGCTCTCTGAAGTAAAAAAAGAGCCTTCCTGATATACCTCATCACTTAGCACAGTAACAATACCTGTATTATGTGAAAACTTTCTAAACTCTAGTGCTTCTCTGGCAGAAGTGCTGTCAGATGAGAGCCTGATTCGAGATTTGGGTTGCTCATCTATTACCGAGTCCAAGAAGGGCTGGTATCTGGTGAAGTGGCAAACCCACTAAAATGGTTCCCTGACAGGAAAGGGACGACTGCGTCAAATGGCAGTAAACACCTCTTTTCAAATTTCTACTAGAGCTCTTGCTGTGTTGTTTCTCTAAAATGGGGCAAAGTACATTTTATAAAGGGATCCCTAGAAATTTGAGTAACTGACTTTTTGGCCATGATCCCTTTTGATAAATTTTCGGTCAGCTGATCACAACAAAAATTAACTTTGTAAATACTGTCTGTCTGAAAGACATTAATCCTAACAAAAGCAGCAGCAGATGAACGGCCTAGAGACACCATGATTTGGGAGAACAGGAGGGCACACTGACTGAACCACCTGACAAGCGGTCAGCAACATGATTAGGTTAACGCGTATGGTCCCTCGGCAGTTCCACAGCTGCCTTCCTAGTTCATTAAAATAAATAAGCATATTCCCATTGAAATATCTTTTAATATGTTTTAATAAAACACAATTTCCCCTTTCCAATTTTAGTTTTCTTCCCAAATCTACTTTTCAAGAAACTGTCATTCAAATACACACCCACATAAAAAGAAAACCTGGAAAACTCAGAAGAACACAACTATTATGAATTCTAGTTTTCTCAAGATAGTCTTACTTAAATTTATAATTATACTCAAAATATTTTAACTCGTTTTGCTATAGAAAATAGTTTTAAATCCCCATGTATGAGACATTTATATCCCATCAAAGTTCTGTGCAAACATTTCAAGTCCATTATTCCAGTCTTCGGATATTAGCAGAAAGTCAATAAATATAAATATTACAATAAAGACTTAATTTAAAATATATACTGTGGAACCTCAAAACAGCTAGCATGGATCCATAAGCCTATAGGATTCAAAATGGAATTACCAGCAAAACTCTAGCACCAACATATGTTACAAATGAATATATCTTTAGGTCAGGTTTCAAGATGTATCTTCACTCAAGCCTCCCAAAATTTATCCAGTAATAAAAACAAATACAAATAATGTGTGAATCTGTGTGTGTGTGTGTTAACAAGATGTTCAAGCAACATATAATTGGTTTATATACGTAATATGAAGCACTTTAGCCAGGGGAATTTGTCTGGTAAATAAATACTGAGACTATAACAAGGAAAAATAAAACTTACATTAACTTTCCATTAAAAGCCTGATCTCCTTTATTCATCACAGAGCTTTTGCATAAGCCTTTAAAATATACAAATCACTGGCCAGAACTCTGCTTACAGATTATCATCTTTCATTATCACCAAATCTTTAGTTAAAATAATAACCATATTCACGGAGGGACAAATGGAAAAGGGTGAGGCTCTGAGAACCACAATTAATACAGACCTTAAAAGGACTACATCAGCAAGCACATTTGTTTCCTGCTAAGTAGAATATTATGAATTTTCTCATGTGTAGAGGAATGGATGACATGATTAGAGCCTTCTGTAGACCTCTGAATGAGTAAGCAAACTTTCGTGTTTACCTGAGACAAATATGCTCAAATGGTATGTACTTCAACCAGGATATAAAACAGAAGAGCCAAATCAGTAGAAGCTTCCATGTTTTAATTTTAAGATTTGCAAGATTTGCAAGATTTACCTCCATCATGGTAGCAAACTGCACACATAAAGCTATTACGGAACAGACTGTTTTTTTAAAAAAAACAAATTGGCAGGTGATGGCCATGCACTTAATGTATCTTTGGTTTAGGAAGACGAGAGTATTGATTAGAAGCCAAACAATCCCCAGAATTCAAATTGTCATTAGGATTCTGCATGATTTCTTTTCTTCTTATTAGTGGCCTTGGGATGCTTGTCTTGGCCTGGAAGTTTTGAGGCTCTAATCGGGGGCTGCTTATGTGTTTTTGTTTGAAAGAGCCAGAAGGGGGGCGGAGCTTAGACGCTTTTGGATTTGGATTACTTGCAAGATTTGTTTGACTAGATGTTGGCTGGAGTTTTGCGGAATTACATTGTGTGATTATTGGTGATTTCTTATAAGTGGGAGTCCTATTTGGAGATGTTTCAGGAACTGGAGGAGATACGAAAGAATTCAAGATGGGTGGCTTAAAAAGCTGCGAGGACTTGGGCTGAGATGTGTAGCCCTCTGGAGAAGACTGATTTCTTCTAACTCTCTTAGCCTGGTCATCTGTACTTGACTGGGGAAGTGTCTGAAGAGAAGTGGGCACAAACTGCATGTCACTGATTTGATTATTTGCCAGATGATAAGGCTCTTGAGCATTCAAGGTCGTGTTCAAGTTTACTTCAGAAGGCGTACTCTTCACCACATCCTTAGTGAATTCCGGGCTTGAAGAAAAAGGCTGGTCTTCCAGACCATTGCTGCTTTCTTGTTGCGAGCCATGTGTAAAGCTTTCATCTGGAGGTACAACACTCTGATGTGTGCCCTGGACTGTGCACTCACTGTGGGCCTCGGTATGTTGCGGCTTTGCTAGTTTTCCCTGGGTGCGGTCTGTGGGTCTGGGAAGGCTGCTGGAAGGCTGTAGTACTTGAGGCTATTAAAATTAAAAACAACATTAGCAACAATTCATTTTAGAAACACTACCCAGAATTAATATGTTCCAATTAGGCTGTGCTGGTACTTATTATGTTTTAATATGAGAAGCATGTAGGGTTTTTTTAATTAAAAATAAGCTGTAATATTCAAGTAATTTATGAGACACATATGAGTGATGATGCAAACAAAAAATGGTATAAGCAGTAAACACTAAACAAGATCCAAAATCAAACAGGATAAAAGAAAAATATTAAAGTACTGGTTTATTGAAGAAAAAAGATTCCTATCTTGATTCAATAATTATTTAAAACTTTATATATAAAGAGAGCTTGACAGAATGATTTCTATATAGTCATTTGGTTTAATCTCTATAAAACATTCAGATAGTAACTAAGAATTTCAGAATATTACCCATTTTAAAGTTTTTTTTTTAAAAAGGAAAGCTGTATTCCACTTCAAATCACTTTATTAGAAGAAGTATTAATTTAGAAGTGTCAGGTGCTATAGCTCTAAACTTTGAGAATTAAAATTACCAGCAGATAAACACAATTTAGAATGAAGATTATATTCTAAGTTGATATGAGATCACTTACACAAAAATAGGTCAATGTCTTAAGCTAATGTTAAGTTACTTTTAATATTCCTACTGAAGTTTCGGAATTTAAGGCTTTCACAGCTCATTCGTTGTCTCACTGCCATTTGAGGGATCAACTAAGTCTCTGTTATGGCTGATAAGTGAAAAATGGATTTACCCTCCCCAGGAATACATGTCCATTAATAAACTAAAAACAGTCAGCTTTTTTGGATGATGTCTGAGAGTAAAACAGATTTCAAGTTGCCTGTAACCTGAACTAAAGCTCAGAAGCCTACAAAAGAAAAGTTCTTAAGGCTGACATGCCTTGCACACACTTCTCTGGAGCCCACTGCGAGATTATATCCTATACAAATCAAGGGAATCTTACAATTTCTATTACTTTTGGGCAGTCAGTAAAGAAAATATGACTTTTAAAGTTATCTTTCTATGGCCCAAATAGTTAAAGTATATGGGGCAAAGCCTATTGGTCCTATCATGATACAGGGATGGTTGCTATAGATGTTTTAAATGCACACACATACATACACACTCCCACACATTCTTTTTTTAAAATGTCTGACATGTCACACACTGTAGTAGGTACAGGAAAGTATGAACCTGAACACAATGCTGTTCCTGTGGTTGAGAGGCCTCATGAGAAAGAGTCAGGTAAACAAAAGATGAGACCGTGTCTCAAGCATAACAACATGTAGAAGCAAAACATACGCCTGATTAGAGAGGTCACAAAAGGCATCCAAGAAATACCAACATCTGAACTGAGTTTTAAGAAGAGCAGGAGTGTGCCAGTCAGGGTAGAGGGCCAGAACACGTGAAATACAAAGGCAAAAGAAGAACATGATATGTTCTAGCAACTTCAAATTGTTAGACTGAATTGGCAAGCACAGTGCTCGTGAGAAAGTGTGGGCAAGGGCCAGCTCATAAAGGAACTCACATCAGGCTGAGTAGTTTTGACTCTGTACAGTAGATGATGGGAGACACTGAGGAATTTTAAGCAAAGGAATTGTAAGACCCAATGTCATTACAATGTCATTCTGGTGAAATCAATGAGGAAGGTAACAGAAGGGGATGAGATTGTCAAGCAGAATACCCAGACAGTATGCCACTGCTAACACCCAGGTGAATTATTAATATATGGGTTTTAAATTAGGATATTAATGTAAAAAAAAAAAGGGAAAGGAATGAAAAAGATTTTGAAGGTGAAACAGAGAAGTTTAAGGTGAGTTCTAGGTTTCTGGCTTTGAAGATGAATGACAGGATACTGCCCTGTATCCAGAAACAAAAGACCTCTGGGTAAGCTGCCCACCAGATCTTTCATTGCATAGCCTCAGCAGCCCACGAGACTCAGAGGACAGGAGGAGTTCCCCCTACTCCTGGGGGATCTCAGGAAACTCCCTGTAGTCACAAATAAGTAGAGCTTTAGTACTCCATCCTTATAATTTATACAAAAGCGTGTTACTAAAGTTTAAAAATGGAGACCCATTCCTAGACTGAAAGAGCTCAGTGCTTCTCACTGGACTCAGTAACTTTAAGTCTTACTTTAGTAGTTGAATACATACACTTCAACGCACTACGATGAGAATTCTCAAATGCAACGGCTACAGACGTTAAGGTCAACAGTGCCAGCAATACACACTACCAAGTAATTATGCAAGGGGCTGACAGGCATCTTCAATGATAATCTTAAAAGTCTGTTCTGTGTTGCTTACAAAGACAACCAAAGACTATGAGCTCCTTAAGGCATTGTACCATGCTTTATTCATTTTTTTTTGTTGCTGTAGTTGGCATCCTCAGTATTTCGCACATGTGCATGCGCAAGTCACTTCAGTCACATCCAACTTTTTGTGACTCTATGGACTGCAGCCTGCCAGGCTCCTCTGTCCATGGGATTCTCCAGGCAAGAGTACTGGAGTGGGTTGCCATTTCCTCCAGGGGATCTACCTGACCCAGGGATCGAACCCACGTCTATTGTGTCTCCGGCACTAGCAGGCAGTTCTTTACCAGCACCACCTGGGAAGCCCACAAAATGGAGATCAAATATATATTTATAGGATAAATGAATAAATAACTATTAATAAGTAATACATTCCAAAATTGCCTCTTTGGTAATAAATTACCATAGGTCAATGATACAGCACTAATTTAAACAAATTTTTTAAAAATCACTGATGGACAAGAAATTTTATAATTTAAAAAATGTGTTCTCTAAGTTTGGGGTCAGCTTAATGATTCAAGTTTAGAAGCACAGCATGAAGGATTCATTACATGTTAATTTGAACACAGCACCTCCCATTTGACCTGCACCCACCATAGTGACTTACCAGCTATGCCAGAGGTGCTTTTTAGTTGGAAACTAGACATTTCTGGATGAAATGTGTTAGGGAAACTATCTTAACAAGCATTCAACTATTTTCCATTTCTAATTCTAATAATTAAAATGACTATAACATGTAAAACACTTAGGATAGAACCTCCCAGAGCACATCAAAATGGCTCAATAAATGTCACTTATGATTGTTAAAAGGTATGAAAATGATTAATTAAAGCTATGACCCTTCAGTAGCTAGGTCTGGAGGGGGGAAAAGCAAATTCTGTAATAGTATTATAATACACTAGTTGTTACAGATTACAAGGTTTCTAGAATCCAAATACATATTTCAATAATGTTGGTCATATTTAACTATTATAAATTCACAGGAGGCATATCTGATACAACACAGATCCTCAAGTGCCCTCCTGGAGATAAACCAAAGCTAGGAAATGCAAGGCAATTTAACATTTAGAGAGAATTTACATGTGGCTATATGAAGGAGCCAGGACAACACAGTACTGAACCACTTAGTTTTTGAAGACAGACTGATTTGGGTTTAAGTTCTGGCTTCTCAATCTATCAATGAGATACTGGGTAAATTATCTTACTCCGCTGAGATGGAATTTCGTAACTTGTAAAATGAGGATATCAGTACCTACACCTCAGTGAATTGCTGTTAATCACAATGATAACATGCATACAAAGTACTCAGTATCAGTATAAAGAATGACACATTCCAAATACTTGAGAAATATACTTCAGACTGTAACAGAAGGGTTTCCTTTCTTCCCAGTGCTAGACAGCTAAACTATACATAGCATGCATTACCTGATTATCATAAGACCCTAGGTGGAAGGTATAATCTTTTTGTAAATGAGTAAACTGAGGTTCAATGAAATTAAGTAGTTGTTCAAATTCATACACTTTAGCAAACAGCAAAGCCAGAATCTGAGCTGACAGAGAATTTAAAATGCAGCACTACACCTTGACCATTCTGTGTGTGCACGCTCAGTCACATCAGACTGGGCGACCCCCTGAACTGCAGCCAGCCAGGCTCCTCTGCCCATGGGACTGTCCAGGCAAGAACACTGGAATGGGAGCCATTGCCTCCTCCAGGGGATCTTCCCCTCCCAGACACTGACCCACGTCTCCTGCTGGACTCTGCACCGATGTGCCACCTGGAAGCTCCACTGTTCTGTGTGTGCTGAGTTAGGTCCAATGAGCTCACCGACTCTCAGAGTATGCAATATAGCCAGCTGATTATTTTTAAAACTCAAAAGGCAGATTCAATACCAACATTCAGGTATTAACTCTTTTAGATGATGCCCTGTTGCCTTCTTAGCTGATCTGTCCTACACAGGAAAATGCTCAGATACCAAACTCAAGCCACACTGTGAAGCAGTATTTCCAGGAAAAGGTGGTTCCAAGTGATCCACTGGAGGAAATACACTGAACACAAGAAAATGCTAATCAGCACACATCACTAAGAAAAACTGTTCACCTCTGTTTCATACCACTTCAAAGATTTCGAGCATTTTAACATAAGGAAAAAGTAATATCAGTTTCTGTAAAAACATTCATGTTCTAAAGTCGCCAATAGTAAGAGGGCAGCTAGAAATATCAAGTCCTGATGGAATAAAAGTATGTCAAACTATGTAAGGTAGAAAGAAGAAAATGTCCTAAAGCATAATAATGCTACTGCATAACAGACACAGGAATTACCTAATATTATTTTTCCTTGGTATATATAACTTTATTATCATTATTAAATACATTTTAAAGGTTAAAAGGAAGATGGTAATGGAGCCACTTGTAACATGCCTGTAATTTCATGCAGGCTCTGACATGCATCATGCAAACTGGGGGAGAAAAAAGTGACAATGAGGAAGGTGGTAGGAAAAAATCTGAAATTGTACTGTACCACGCTTTGTCAGAGAAGTAATGGACTAACTTCTCAACTCCTTGCCAATAGCATAATGGGAGAGCAGAGACAAGAAAAAGACAGGACAATGGTGTCAGAGACCACATACAACACCAAGGAACTGCCATGACTGGGTAGCAGCCAACAGTATTTGCTTTTGTTGTATTTTTTCAG